CCTTAGTAATCTGGCCATATCTCACGCTACACATAAGATATTGACATGAAACTAATTTCTAAATTTCAGGCATACAATTTCCTACAACTTTTATGAAGGAGTCGAGTCCCAATTTTACACTCATAAGTCTCATTAAATCAAAATCCATGGTTGTTAGAACAGGGCAACCTCCTAAGGTGACAGCTAGAACACCTATTAGTAAAATGGACATAACTTGAGTTACAAATATCCGTTTGAGGTGAAACCAGTGGCTAAATTTCAAGTAGGGATACAACTTTCATGAAGTCATAAACTCCTAATTCAGTCCATACAAATCCCAGAATTTAGTGAACACTGACCTGCGAATTTGGGTTCTTAGGTTTTTAGCTCAACCACTTCTAATCCTTCATTTCAAGCATGATTCTAGTATCCTAGATGTAAAACCACAACAATAAAAGCAAGATAACACCCTTCCCATTCCTATTCAAGCTCATCCAAGTAAAAAGAGAAAATTAAATAACACCATTTTAAAAATAAAATAAAATCATACAAGTGTAGAGGAGGATAAGGGTAACAAGTTTACCTCTTGAAGCTTCTCAAGAAAATCAAATTTTGGCCCTCAAAATCAAGCTTGAAGGTGAGTATATTTGAGAGAGAAATGTAGAAAAATCTTACGGGAGCTTGTAAAAGAAGATGCATTCTCTCTCTCAATCACTTTTTAAAAGTAAAAATTTAATTACTTTATCTTTTTTCTTTAACTTAAAAATTTCACTTTTCTAAATGTATATTTCTTTTTCAGTTTAACAGGTAGAGAAGATTTTAAAAAAATAGTAGAATATTTAGAATAATATTGAGATAGTCACTAAAATTTTAATTCACTCAAATTGTTCTTGGATCGGTTTGTTTCTTGTCTGCTTATTAGACGTACTGAAAAATAAAATTTTGAAATTTATCAAATTTCATTGTAAAAATTTACTTTCCAAGATCTTTCTAATATTATTAGGCTCTCATAAAATTTTTAAAATTTTACGGCTTTGTTTGCTATAGAATTAGATTCAGTTTAAAAATTTATTTATTTTTGCCAAGATTCCTGCAAAATAGGCCAATTTTAAGTATTTCTTAAAAATTTCAGAAAAATTCTAAAAAATCACAAATTATCTAATGCATATAAAAATCTAAAATCACATTAAATAATTCCTAATAATTTAATTTTTTTAAAATTTTGACAAAGGTCCTGTCAAAATTTAGCAAACCACGGGTACTGAGAATTAGGATGTTACACAGTGCCACAGTGACTGTGGCTGGTGTGCGTATGCATGGATTTATGAATTGTACTTATAGATGTGAAATGCTGCCTGTGTTTGTAATTGTTTAATGTATTAAAAATGTGCTGGAGGTGAGACTTTATGTTGACTGTGTGTCTTTGGGTAGTGTAGAGTACTCACCCTTACATTCATTTTTCAGGTAATCAAGATGATCAGCACCGGACTCAGTGAAGGGGTGAATGGAACTGCTATAGGACTTAGGATATTATTTTGAAAACTATTGTATTTAAATAAGTCCTGTAGCAGTTATTTGATAATAACTTGTAACCCTAACCTCATTTCAAAATATTTTATGAAACTCTGTTATTTGAATTTGCAAAACCATTATTTAATTGAAATTAAATTTAAGGTGTTACAATTTTGGTATCAGAGCAGTTCATCCAAACCGGACTGGGGTATCGGGCTGAAGCATCCAAGATAAGTATTGATTATTTTGTTTGCCTGAATTATAAATATATTATTGATTTGATGTGCTGGACTGTGACTGTTAAATTGTGTAGCTTAGATTATGGCTAGTAGAGGTAGAGGAGCTAGAGGCTCCAATGACCTCATGGAATGCATGGCTCAAATTTTGGAAGCCATGGTGCATAATCAAGGTGGAGAGCTGGCTGAGTTTCGAGGGTTGTCTGCCTTCACTAGGCATGATCCTCCAAGGTTTGAGGGTGGATTCAATCCCGAAGGAGCCCAAAGGTGGGTGGCCGATGTGGAGAAGATCTTCAATGCAATGGGGTACTGTGAGGAGAACAAGGTTGCCTATGCCACCTACTTGCTGTGTGGGGAGGCTGAGGACTGGTAGAGGTTTGCCGATCAGACCCTGCCACAGGAAGATGACTATATCCAGTGGGAAGCATTCAAGACCATCTTCCTGGGGAACTACTTTCCCCGAAACCTAAGGAAGCAGAAAGCTAGGGAGTTCCTTGAACTGAAGCAAGGAAGTATGATTGTGGGGGAATATGCAGCTAAGTTCCAGGAGCTGATGAAGTACTGGCCTCATTATTAGCATGGTGATGGAGAGGAGGATCTGTGTGCTCAGTTTGAGCATGGACTAAGGCCGTACATCTGAGCTGCAGTCAGTGTGTTTCAACTGATAGATTTGCCCACCCTAGTGAGCAAGAGCAGAATTTTTGAAGATAACTCAAGAAGGAAGACGGTGGACACTAGGGGAGCCGACCCAGTGAGGCAAGATAGACGACCCCCTAGGTTCTCAACGGGACCGTACTCAGGATCAAATAGCTCTCAGTCTCGAGGGAGTTCATCTCAAGAGAAGAGCAATGGGAGTGGTTTAGGATCAAGTTCTTTCAGAGGACCGCTTAAATGCTTCAAGTGTGGAGGGCCACACATGGTGAAGGACTGCCCATAGTCGAGGATAACTTGCAACAACTGTGGGAAGTCGGGGCACATTGCCAATGAGTGCTGGGCCGCTAAAGGAAGCGATAGTGCAAGTGCAGCTCAGAGGCCAGAATCAAGAGGAAGTACGAGGCCAAGTACAGGGCAGAAGCTGAGCATTCCTGGTAGAGTCTTTGCTATGAGTGGGGCAGAGGCTTCACAGTCAGAGGAGTTGATCCAAGGTAAATACATTATTAAAGGTCGATTGCTTGACGTGCTGTTTGATTCAGGTGCTACGCACTCCTTTATATCGTGGACTGTGTGAAGAGTCTGGATTTATATGTGACTGAACTGCCTTGTAATGTTATGGTGACTACCCCTACGGGTAAGTCGGTTGTGACGTCATGGGTGTGTCTAGGGTGTGCAATAATGGTACATGGTAGGGAGTTTGAGGTGGACTTGATTTGTTTACCTCTTTCTCAACTGGATGTAATTCTGGGAATGGATTGGCTTGCTGCCAACCATGTGCTGTTGGACTATAGGGAGAAGACTTTGATCTTCAGTGCGACAGTGGCAGAGGCTCCAAGGCTTATAAGCCAAGAAGCGTGGGAGAATGCGGTAAACGCTAAGACTTTCATGGTTATGTTCTCAATAGAAGCCAAAAGTGTGGTGGAGCCAGATTATATTCCAGTAGTAAAAGATTTCTTGGAGGTATTTCCCGAAGATGTTTTCGAGCTGCCATATGAGAGGGAGATAGAGTTTTCTATCGACCTTATTTCGAGAGCAAGCCCAATTTTTATGGCGCCTTACAGGATGTCACAGGTGGAATTCATAGAGGTTAAGAAGCAAGTAGAAGACCTATTGCAGAAATGGTTTGTGAGACCGAGTGTGTCACCGTGGGGAGCACCAGTGCTCTTGGTGAAGAAGAAGGATGGAAATATGAGAATGTGTGTAGATTACTAGCAACTGAATAAAGTAACGGTCAAGAATAAGTATCTGCTTCTAAGGATTGACGATTTGATGGATCAGTTGAGGGGAGCTGCAGCGTTCTTGAAGATTGATTTGAGATCGGGATACCATCAAATTCGAGTGAAGGACGAGGATGTACCTAAAACAGCGTTTAGGACGCAGTATGGTTATTATGAGTATTTGGTTATGCCGTTTGGAGTGACCAATGCGCCTGCGGTGTTCATGGACTACATGAACAGGATCTTCCACAAGTTTTTGGATAAGTTTGTGGCGGTGTTCATTGACGACATCCTAATTTATTTAAAGACTCAGGAAGAACATGTCGAGCACTTAAGGATTGTCTTGCAAATTCTAAGGGAGAGACAACTGTATGCGAAATTCTCCAAGTGTGAGTTCTGGTTGTCGGAGATCCAATTTCTGGGACATGTATTGTCGAAGGAAGGAATCATGGTAGACCCTACAAAAGTGGAAGCAGTGGCTGAGTGACTGAGGCCGATGAATGTGACTGAGGTTTGTAGTTTTTTGGGACTAGCAGGTTATTACAGAAAGTTCATTGAGGGGTTTTCTAAGATAGCCTTGCCCTTAACGAAGGTGACCCGCAAGGGAAAGGAGTTCGAGTGGACCAAAGGGTGTGAAGCTAGTTTTTGGAGCTGAAAATAAGATTGACTTCAACGCCAGTGTTAATGCTGCCCATCCCGGAGCGAAAATTTGATGTGTATTGTGATGCATCCAGGTAAGGACTTGGTTGTGTTTTGATGCAAGACGGGTGAGTGGTGGCCTATGTCTCAAGGCAGTTACATCAGCACGAAGTCAACTATCCGACACACGATCTGGAGTTAGCCGTAGTAGTTTTCGCTCTTAAGGTGTGGAGGCATTACCTATATGGGGCGAGGTTCGAGGTGTTCAGTGACCACAAAAGCTTGAATTATCTATTTGACCTAAAGGAATTGAATATGCAGCAGAAGAGGTGGATGGAGTTCCTCAAGGACTATGATTTTACTTTGTCTTACCACCCTGGTAAGGCAAATGTGGTGGCCGACGCTTTGAGTTGAAAATCATTGCATGTGGCAACGATAATGGTGAAAAAGATGGAGTTGATTGAGAAATTTCAGGACATGAATTTTGCCGTGGAGGTGAGGTCAGGGAGTTTATATCTCGGAGCGACGACGATTCACAACGACTTCCTGCTGTACATCTGAGATGCTCAACAGGGAGATGCTTTCCTGCAAGACATGATGAGATAGAAGGATGAGGGAAAGGACTTCGATTTCCACCATGATTAGAATGGGGTGGTTAAGTTCCAAAATCGAGTGTGGATTCCTCAAGTCGATGAGCTGAGACAGATGGTGCTTAAGGAAGCGCATAAAAGTAGGATTAGTTTTCACCCCCAGTGCAACTAAAATGTATCAAAATCTCCGGAAGAGTTTTTGGTGGAATGGAATGAAGAAGGATGTGGCTGAATATGTGGCTAGATGCCTAACTTGCCAAAAGGCGAAGATAAAACACCAACGTCCACCTGGGTTGTTACAGCCGCTGGAGATCCCTGAGTGGAAATGGGATAGTATTTCCATGGACTTTGTTTTTGGGTTGCCTAAGACCAGGAACAACCATGATACCATCTGGGTGATAGTGGATCGGTTAACTAAGGTTGCACACTTTCTCCCGATCAACATGAAGTATAAGTTGGAAAGACTTGTGGAATTGTATGTGAGAGAGATAGTCAGGCTGCATGGAGTGCCGACTAGTGTGGTGTCAGATAGAGATCCGAGGTTTACCTTGAGGTTTTGGGAGAGCCTGCAACGTGCGTTAGGGACTAAGTTGAGACTGAGCTCGACTTATCACCCACAGACTGACAGTCAGACTGAGCAGACCATCCAATCCCTAGAAGACTTGTTGAGGGCTTGCGTGCTAGAGCAGCAAGGAACTTGGGAAGAGTGCCTGTCGCTGGTGGAATTCACGTACAACAATAGTTACCATGCTAGCATTGAAATGGCACCATTTAAGGCCTTGTATGGGCGGAGATGCAGAACTCCGTTGTGTTGGTATGAAATCAAAGAGGCGACTCTGTGTGCGCCAAATATGGTCCAAAGGCAGACTGAGCAGATCAAAATGATCAAAGAGAAAATAAAGGTTGTATAAGACAGGCAGAAGAGTTATTATGATAGGAGGAGGAAACCATTGGAGTTCCAGGTGGGGGACTATGTGTTTCTGAAGGTCTCACTTGTGACCAGAGTTGGGATAGCCCTGAAATTTATTGAGTTGCTCAAAGTGCTGAGTAGAATTGGTCTTGCTGTATATCAGATAGCATTGCCTCTGAATCTCTCGAATCTACATCCGGTGTTCCATGTGTTGCAGCTTAGGCAATATGTGTCGGATCCTTCCCATGAGATTGATCTTGACCCGGTTCAAGTGAGAGAAGATTTGTCATATGACGCGTATCCGGTAAGAATTGCTGATCACTGTGTTAAGCAGCTGAGGGGCAAGGACATCTCATTGGTGAAAGTAATATGGAGCTGCCACATGAGAAACGGAGAGTAGAATAAGAGATTTGTATCCGGGGTTATTTTTGTAGATTGTGTGTGTTTGGTTGAATGCGTCTGCGGTGTTCATGGACTACATGAACAGGATCTTCCACAAGTTTTTGGATAAGTTTGTGGCGGTGTTCATTGACGACATCCTAATTTATTTAAAGACTCAGGAAGAACATGCCGAGCACTTAAGGATTGTCTTGCAAATTCTAAGGAAGAGACAGTTGTATGCGAAATTCTCCAAGTGTGAGTTCTGATTGTCAGAGATGCAATTTCTGAGACATGTATTGTCAAAGGAAGGAATCATGGTAGACCCTACAAAAGTGGAAGCAGTGGCTGAGTGATTGAGGCCAACGAATGTGACTGAAGTTTGTAGTTTTCTGGGACTAGCAGGTTATTACAGAAAGTTTATTGAGGGGTTTTCTAAGATAACGTTGCCCTTAATGAAGGTGACCCTTAAGGAAAAGGAGTTCAAGTGGACCAAAGGGTGTGAAGCTAGTTTCTTGGAGCTGAAAATAAGATTGACTTCGGCGCCGGTGTTAGCACTGCCCAACCTGGAGCAAAAATTTGATGTGTATTGTGATGCATCCAGGTAAGGACTTGGTTGTGTTTTGATGCAAGACGGGCGAGTGGTGGCCTATGTCTCAAGGCTGTTACATTAGCACGAAGTCAACTATCTGACACACGATCTGGAGTTAGCCGTAGTAGTTTTTGCTCTTAAGGTGTGGAGGCATTACCTATATGGGGCGAGGTTCGAGGTGTTCAGTGACCACAAAAGCTTGAATTATCTATTTAACCAAAAGGAATTGAATATGTGGCAGAGGAGGTGGATGGAGTTCTTCAAGGACTATGATTTTACATTGTCTTACCACCCTGGTAAGGCAAATGTAGTGGCCGACGCTCTGAGTTGAAAATCATTGCATGTGGCAACGATAATGGTGAAAGAGATGGAGTTGATTGAGAAATTTCGGGATATGAATTTTGCCGTGAAGGTGAGGTCAGGGATTTTATATCTTGAAGCGACGACGATTCATAACGACTTCTTGGTGTACGTCTGAGATGCTCAGCAAGGAGATGCTTTCCTGCAAGACATGATGAGACAGAAGGATGAGGGAAAGGACTTCGATTTCCACCATGATGAGAACGGGGTGGTTAAGTTCAAAAATGAGAACGGGACAAAATTCCTAAAGGAGGGGAAAGTTGTAACGCCCTGAATTTTGGTGATATTAATTATTGTATATATATATATATATATATATATATATGTATGTATATTTGGATATATGTTATGGATGTGTGTATATATATATGTGTATGCATGACTGGATAGGGCTGAAAATGGGCTAAGTGCCTAAGTTCAGGGTGTTTTCGCTGTAGCGAGAGAAATTCCCGCTGTAGCGAGCGACCCCTGAAGGAAAGGGGCAAAACTGCCGCTTTCTCACTGCAGCGAGACTGTCTCGCTGTGGCGAGAGAGCGACAAAAGAAAGTGCATTTCTGGGTGCAGTCTCGCTGCAGCAAGATTTTGCAGAAATCAGGATGTAGTTTCATCTTAGATTTTTGCTGTGGCGATAGAGGGCGTCGCAGCAAGAGATGCCTCGCTGCAGTGGGAATTTCCCGCTGTAGCGAAAGTGTTGCGATCTGAGGGGTTTTAAAAAGGATTTAGGGATTTGAGATTCATTTCTCAAATTTCCTCCAAAATCTCTTCAATCCTCTTGACCCAAAGCCCTATTCCACCGATTAATTGCCTCCAAAGTTGTTTGGGAGCCTGATTGAAGGTTGAAATCTATGTGGGGAACGCTTTGAGGTTAGCTTTAATGGTTAGGTTCCGTTTCTCATCCCTTTTTCTCTGTTTTTGTGGTTTACTTGGGTTCTCAAGGAGTTCTTCAATGTGGATAGGCCGAAATCTATGTGGGGAGCATTTCCAAGGTTGAATCCGAGTGTGGGTCTTCAATCCAAGGTAAATGGGGACTCTGCCCTACTCTTTTTATGTGTAATTGATTGAATATGGAGTGGTGGCTGAGTTAGAAGGTAAAAAATGTGTAGAGAATGAAAGTTGATTGAGAAATGTGAATATTGTGTATGTTTACCCGAAATGGATGAATGTGAATTGCATGCTAGATGTTGCATGATAGAATGAATATTGTGAACAAATGTGAGCCCGAGGGCCGTGTAATATAAATGGATATTGGGTATGTGCTGTGTAATGTGAAATGAATGGGGGCCTAGTGCCGTGTATTTGAATGCAATGTGGGCTATGTGCTATATGTAAGAATGATCATTACATGCGTGAATGGAATATGTGTGAATGGGTGTGTTAGTGTCGTTGTAATGTGTTGTGAATGGTTCAACGATACACTCGGGGTGTGGAAGATGAGAACGGTAGAAATACCTTGGGGAAGAGGAAGTGGTGGTGACACTGACTGTAAAACGGGTGCACCACAGGCCACACACTCTCTTCCTGAGAATATAGTTAGAGATAGAAAAGGACACGAAAAAAATATAGTTGTTATAAATATGATTTCGTTTCACAGTTTAGGATTACAACTTTTACATTGAAAATACTTGCATTTAAAATCTCTATACGCCAAAATTCTACACTTGTTAGACAAGAGATTAACAATTCTATGTTAATTGTTGCTAGCAGTTATACATTTATGTATTACAGTATAATATCAATTTCAATAATTTACTTTAATATTTTATTGCTTTTCTTTATTGTTTTGTGCAAATCTTCTTCTACTCTTTTTTGTTTTATTTTATGCCTTTCTTGTAACACTCCTATTTTTATTATTTATTAGTTTTGCATTTGTAATGAGTTGTTAATGTATGTTGCTTGAAATCAGCAGAATTTTAGATGTTTAAGTTGCAAGATTTTTCGCTATAGCAAGATGTGTCTTGCTGTAGCTGGAAATCAGAGTCCAAAATCAGGCATTCTGATGCTCTCTCGCTGTAGCAAGGATGCTCTCACTGTAGCGAGGAGCTCTCGCTGTAGCTAGAATGATAGACAGTAAAGTATAATTTTGTTTAGTTTTTTTTCGCTATAGCGAAAGAATCTCTCGTTGCAGCGAGAATTGGCTTGCTGTAGCGAGAATATCGGGAATTGAGGGGTATTTAAGGGTTTCCAAATTAAGAAACTTGGATTATAATCCAAGTCATGACCCTCATACGTTCTCTCTGACTTCTCTCCTCATTTTCTTAGCAAATCTTTGGAAAAATCCCAATTTTTCTCTGATCAAAGTTTAGAGGATCACTTCCCTTGTTCTTTGGTAATTAAGTTTTGGAACTTTGTTCTCTATTTCTTTGGTTATTTTTTTTGTTCTTTCTCCTCTAAAGAGAAACTCTTGTGATATTAAGGAAGAACTCAGCCTTTTCAGCAAGATCCTTTGAAAACCCTTTATTATTAAGCTTTCATTTTAAGGTAAAGAGAGCTCTATTTTGTTACTAAGGAAGTGGTATGCTTGTATTCATGAAGATGTTGTGATGAAATGTATGATTTTAAGTATATGTTGGATGAAAACATGTTTTTGTTATATTTGAAGCCTGTTTTGTGATGTTGGATGATGTGTATGATTTTTATTTTGACTGTATATGCATGTACATAGTGGACTGAGTCCGAGGAAACTAACTCTCGACAATGATTGATTTATGTGTAATATAATAATGAACTAGAGTAAAAGAAAGATATAAAAGCATGAATAATATGTGAATAAATAGATAGTGAGAAATATAGAGATGAGATGGGAAATATGGAAAGAGAAAGTGAAATGAGAATGAAATATGATAAGGATGAGTATGGATAGTTCAGAAGTACACTAGGAGTGTGAAAGATGGAAACGATTGAGAAGTCTTAGGAAAATGAAGGTGGTGGATGCTCCTTTTTAATTGCGCAAAACAAATTAGAGTAGGAGCACCATAGGCCTCTCACTCATTTCTTGACTAATACTCCTGACCATGCTTTTGCTAAAAGGAGTCAGGTCGGCACACGTATCCGTGTAGCTACGACTATCCAGTGACTATCTATGCTAAGGAAGACCTCGAAGGATCCCACAGGCAATGAAAGTGAAACGAGAATCCCAAGTATTAAGAAAGAGATGAAGAGTAATAAGTTGAATACTTAAAGATTCTTTCATGAATATGAGTATGACTTGGTAACATGATTAATTGTTGTATTATCTTTGTTTTACGGTGTGAATAATTATGAATGTATGCTTGGTAATATGAATAGAGACTTATCCTTACGTAAACATTTCAGGGAACCCAGATGATAGCACCCACCGAGAGGATTAGATTAGTAGATAGCTCTATAACTAATAGACTGAATTATGTGTTTAATGAGTATCAAAGACTTTGTTTCTTTAGGATTGCTATAGATGAAAATGATATACCTAGTGATACTATTATGACGGAAATGGAATTAACTTTTAGTGTCCTTTTTTATTTCCCCTCAAGTAGAATTCATCATACTCTTTGTGTATATATCTTTCCTGGTACTGTGAGGACCCCAGTAACTTTGACCTACCTATTCACGTACCATGACCACGATCACCTTAGGAGACCATCTTATTGGACGTTTGAAAGGATCACTGGTGCCCAGGTTACTGCGGACCTTGGTGATCTGTATCTCGGATCAGGTAATGATCTCGACTCCGATGATATTGCGATGATAGAGGGATGACACGGGGACGACTAGTGTCTCTCTGGTCGTGTGATGGATATACTGCTCATTAAGATTTATAATATTCTGTATTTTGTAAATGTTGTAAAATGAGTCCTAATGTATTTTGATGTATATTTAATAATATTAATCCACTATAAACTCTTCAGAACCATATATTTATTAATGTTATTTCATGTTTCCTTTTTAACTTGTTTAATTTCTATGGATTTGTTCTCTAAATTTTTATAAGTATAAAGTAAAATAAATGAAATATTTTATAGTTACATGCTTCATACTCAACTCGCAAATACATTTGAATTAATTATTCCTTTCTAACTAATAACTTATTTTCTTATAATTTTGAATAAAATAAGGATGTCACATTTCTTATAATGTTAATTAGTTTATTTAATAAAAACACATTATAAAAACTCATAAAAAAGATTTAAAATTTAATCTCAGACTTCTCTTTGTTTACATGAAAACTTTACTACAAAAGTAGTATAAGTAATGAGTTATCTAGCAAGAAGATTGACCAGAACGACTTACTAGCATACCCACCAAAGACGGTTACTTTTTTATCCATGCGAACAGTTATAAGTTAATTCTTAAAAATAAAAAATCAATACAAAAGAGAGTGCATATTTAAAAACACGTTGGCATATTCAAAATCACGTTGATAAGATAAAAATATGGAAAACTGAGCATCGACAATGTCGATATCTCGGCTCACGGCCAAGGAAGCGACCTCTTTCAGGCTCCAATTTTTGTCTTCTAATTACTAATAATATTTTTGAAAATAAAAATTATAATGATTTAATAAATAATATTAGTTTACTAAGATTAATTAATATATCTTTATTAAAGATAAGTATCTCATTCTATAATTTAATTCATTTAAAACGATTATATGTTATTAATGAAGTTTTTTAAAGATAAATTGATAACATTTTATTAAAAATAAAAAAACATATCGATAAAAAGAATAAGAATGCATTCAAATAAATACTAAAAAGTCTACTTAAGTACATTCGTGTTAAGCTGTCAACTAGACTCGAGGAACTAATCCTTTAGGTTTAGGCAACTCCTCCTATTTGTTTATTTAATTTTCATCATATGAGGTCATATGGAATAAATTTAGTAAAAAAAATAATTAAAATAATCTAATCTTTTTTATAAACCATATGAAAATTTTATTAAAATAAGCTAAAAAAAATAAGCTACTTTCGTAATCTTCTCTTAAACTTTTAATCTTTTTTAAATATATTGATTTTTTACTATCTGTTAAAAAAATTTAAATAAAATTAGTTATACTTTAATAAATATTTTATATCCTAAAAAAATTCATAAAATATATTTAAAATAAAATTATATAATTTTAATAAAATTATATTTTTAAAATATTAATATTATAATCTGTAGGTAAAGAGCTTTTGTAGGTAGATCCTTTGATGGCTATCTGAGACCTTGACATTTATTTGAGTAATGATTTCACAGTACGTTGAGACGAAATTTGATTAAGTGTTTATTCAATAAATTTTTATTGTATAAGAACGTTTTTGTTTCTGTTTTAAATTATGAATAATTTATGAAAATAGTTTATACTTAAATCTAAAGCATAAATTATTATTTTTAAATTATTAAATAAGTATTCAATTAAGTTATGTATTCAAATACACTTTATATCATAAATTAGATTATAAAATTTATTAATATAAATTTTAAAACTTATTTCAATAAATTATATGAAATTAAATTATTTTTATAAACTCTACACACTCTTCTAAACGCACACTTAATTGAAAATTATTAACTTTAATTTTGGTTTTTCGTAGGTCAATGTTTTAATCAAAAACTATCTATGTATTGAACGATATATCCGGTGAGGGGAATGGAAACTGAGTGGCACATGCCTATAAAAACCTATCATTAAAAGAAAATTGCAGAGCAACTTTAATAAATTATAAATCTCTCTTATTGATTTCACACCTTTTAGAAAAACGTTGCATTAACAAATAATAAATTATACATCTCTCTTAAATTATTTTTCCTCGCTTATCACGTTATAATAAAATTTAATATAAATTATAAAACTTATTTAAATTAATTATATGAAACTAAATTATTTTTATAAATTCTTTATACACTCTTCTCAATGCACACTTAATTAAATTTTATTAACTTTAGTTTCTTATGCGCTAGTTGAGTCAGATTTTGGTTTTACCTACTTCAATGTTTTAACTTTCAAACAAGTAATTTTACAAATGAAAGGAATTGAATTTATGTGATGTAACTTCTTTGCATTTTATGAATAAGATTAATTAATTTAGGCAGGTCTATAGTAATTAACTTAAACAAAACAAAACAGGCAAGACATTGTCAAGGTAATTAAAATATTGTGATTTAACAATACATAAAGCAAATGCTACATCATTTCAAGACTTAGTTGAAAATACAAACACAACAATTAGGAAAAGGATATATTGACTGTTAGTAAAATTAGAAACAACATATTAGAAGCATCAAGATATAGGAAAGGATACTAGCAATGGCAGAGAGCTACTGATAAGTTCATATTTTGATATATTTTATAATTTATATTTATACACTTAAACTCTATTTTATATATATTTACATTAATTATGTTATTAATTATTACAATTTAGCTGGAAGTTGTTATTAGTGCATTATGGAGATATTTTGGATAAAAATTAGATATTTTTAGTCCTTAGCAGTGCTATGTGAAGTTGAGTTTGAATAGAAACCGATTTGAAAATATAGAGCTCAATCGACTGAAAACTCAGGGTATAACTTATATAAAGAGGCCTTATGCTCCACACTTGACAGTTCGACTTCTCTACACACCTTCTTCCCCCTTTTTAGTTCTACTCAAACTCATCTTTGAGAGTCATTGGAGACCATTGGCAAGGATGACAAGCTTCCCCTTAGAGTCCAAGCAAGTGATTGAGCACCCTTGTAGAGAACAAGAACTTTCTTTATCTTCTACCTTTCTGAGTTTCTTTTGTTTGAGTTTTTCTTTGTGGTTATAGGTTTATTTATCAAGTTCTTCATAGTTTATTTTGTTATGAGTAACTAAACCCATAGCTAGGGTTATGACAAATCCTACTACAAACTTTATGTGATTTCTACTTTAATGTTGGTATTGATTTTTCTTTAATGTTTGGTTTTATTCTATTGGATTATATTGTGTATGTTAAGATTTGACCACCCTTAGCATCTCATAGTTAGTTGCATTGTAGGCGATCGTACCGCGTGTAATTAACGGAACTATAGGATAAAATGAGATAAGGGGCTAGGTTAATCATACTTAATTCCTTTCTTTCAGTCGTTATTGAATTAACAAACTTATAGGATCTTTATGCTTTCTCGACCAATTACCTTGCATATTCATTGGAGGTGTTTGCTCATGGAAAAGAATATTGACATTGCATAATCACTGAGTGTTAATAGAACTAATTATGAGTGGTTGGCAAATATTTGAATACCAATATCAGAATTAAATTAATTAGAACATAAAAAAATATAGTAGGTGAACTCATAAGTCCTAGGCTCATCTCATCTGATCTTTCTCATACATTCTATTACTGTTCTTTTAATTTATTGTTAAAATTAAGCTATGTTTTTTATCCGTTACAATTCTGTTACGTTTAAACAACCAAATTAAGTTATTCTTGGTACTTAAAAATAATCTCTGTGGGACGATAACTTAAGAACTCTTAATTCAAAAATTCTTTATTACTTTTTGATAGGTACACTTGCCTACGAACAGCTATATAAGTTTGTAATGTCAATCATCATGTACTTGTAATTATTGTTTTTAAAGGAAACATTTATTCTATTAATAAAAAAACATATTTTTTAAAAGAAGTTTATATACTAATTTTCATTTCTTGATATAATTTTTTTAAAAGCTAACCTGTTAATTGTCTTTTACAAAACATAAGTTATAACATTTGTATAGAAGTTGTAAGTTTTGAAAAAGTTGAAACAACAAAGTTACTTTATGAAATAAGTATGCAATACAAATTTTTGTAAAAATTTTATCAAGGTGCATAATTAAAACAAACCTAGAAGGGTGTTGAAATTATGATTGTAATATTGACGGGCAACTATATATAACAATATTCTATCAACTAGAGTCTATATTGTCCGAAATATGAATGGCCTTTCATTTTCTTTAGAGTTACGTGAAAGGAAATCAAACCCAAAATTGGGGCAACTATTGCTAGGCTTACACCCATGCAATTTTAGATAATTCCAAAATTCATATATATAATATCAATACAATTTGACTAAAATAAGTGAAAGATATAGATAATTTTTAAAAAAATTGTGTGTACAAAATCTGAACCAATAAAAATGAACAAATTTAAAACATACACTTACAGTAAATCTAAATTTGATATTAACAATCAATTACTAAAAATTATACATGTACTTTGAATCATTATCCATAATGCAATTTCTCAAAATATATAAGTTTCAAAATCAACATTTAAAATAATTACATATTGTGATTAACTCTAAGTAGAAATTTAATCGATAATATTACCATATCCAAATAAATTAAATCCTAACAGAATAGTTTCCTTCTTTACAATCCATTGCAAGTATGATTCTAAGACTGATCCATTTTTACTCATTTTTTCTTTACCTGAAATAGTTGTAAGGGTGAACTTCTCTCACCCAACTAAATTCTCTTTTTATAATATAATTAGAATAATATAGTAATAATTTAATACATGTAATAAAATAGAACCTTTTCATTCTTAACAAATTATTATAAGACAAAATTATCTATCTACTCCATTCATCCATTATTCATACATAATTCATTTCTTATCTAATCAATCCAATCAATTTCAATTCAAGAACTCATATCGCTTTATTCATTTATATAATTGTAATCGAATAACATCACTCATGCACGTGTTTCTTCACATTTAATCAAACATCGTTATCTAATTCATAACTTTGTGCCACTTATCCATTTTAAA